CCCGCCGACCATACATCGATTAGATAATGCGCAAGCCTACCCTTTTGCTGAGGAGAAGGACCTTCATGTCAATGTGGGCCGGCTGATTGATTTCTTGTTGTCATGGAGATCAAACAAGGCCACCCTTTTTGAAAGGATTTTGCATCTCAGCTACGCTATGGCTGAGGAGGGGTTCTGGTCTGAAGTGGACATGAGGTTCACTGCGGCCTGGTTACAGGACTTACTGGCTGTTGGGTACCAGCAGTCAAGGCTGATGTCTTTGGAGCTGGATCGGCCTAGGGCGATGATTGGGCATGGTGATAGGAAAGAATTTTACCCCAGGAAGCTTCCTTCTGTACATCTTGGAGTTGAGGAGGTTGGGATTGTGAGTACTGAGATCGGAAACCTCATAAAGTGGAGAAAGAACTTTGGGAATGTTGTTCTTGTGATGCACTGCAGCAGGCCGGTTGATCGGACAGCTCTGGAGTGGAGGTTGCTGTATGGCAGGGTGTTCAAAACTGTAATCATATTATCAGAGGAGAGAAATGCAGATCTTATGGTGGAAGAAGGTCATTTATCGCATGCATACAAGTAAGTGGTTATCAAATTTTTTTTTCTCTCTTAAATCTAATAGAGATTAATTTCTATTGAATGCTTGAATTTTTATGATTGCATAAATTTGCATTGTTAGAAAACCATTGATATAGTGCTGCATAAAATCATGGCATTCTCACCAATCAATGCTTGTATGATCTTTAACCACTTCCTTCTCTCATGTTGATGGTCTATTTTTTTTGTTTTGTTATCCTTTCTGCAATATTCATTGGTTGGGGTGGATCTTCTTTTATCCCACTTGAGCCCTCTTTCCTGTCTTCTCGGATAGAATATAGAGAGAGGAAAAGGGATAGAGTGGCCAACGATGGATAAAGAGGAAGCTATGTGTTGATTAGTATTGGCCACTGAGATCAAATTTTTTAAAGAAATTTTAAGTTTAAAAATCAAAGTGCGTCAAGAGAGTTCAGGTCTACAAATTAAAGTATGACAGTCACACCTCCTTGAGTAGAATCAAAATCGAATAAAGATCAAATTTTTCAATAGTATTCTTTCTAAAAAGGGTGACATAGAGATAAGAGCCAAATATCTTTGGAGGCTTGTTCGCTATAGGAGATAGATGGCACATAACATTTGACACTTTAAAATTGCCAACCATATGTGTGAAAGGTATTGGGAAAGTAGCCAGCCAATATATTTACACGATAAGTCAAATAAAAATAACCTTCAACTAAGAAAGCCCAAAAAGAGAAAATCCTTCCTGTGTGGCTAACATTTCTTGTAGGGAGCCAACTTATAAGTCAAGCAATTGATGTTGACTTATTCAAGTAAGCCTTGTTAGGCCGAGCCAACCTAAACGTTCACTTAGTCAAAACAAAAAAAGGGATAATTGAGGATTACCTATTTTTTTCTTCATTGATCATCAATCAATATAAATTTAACATAAATGACTATTAATCGAGTTCCTTTGAAATTAGTAACGTATTAATGGATTATAAGAGAATACCTCAAAGAAAGAAACGAAGAAAATGGGGGAGCATTTCAAGACATATCACCATAATACATGGAGTCTAAACTAGTTCAATCAACAAGGCCCCTCTTGTTCAACCTAAATTTAGGATCTCAAAACCTTCCTATCTATGATTTATTTGAATTGGAGACTTGCATTGTACAAGTCCAACAAATTATCTGTAGGTGGCTTACGTCAAAACTCAACCTTCATAGCTTGATCTTTTGCTTCAAGGTAGCAAAGTTTAGAGCCCTTATCAGCCATATCTTGAACAAAACAAAACCTAGTTGGCACTTTCTTCGATGTTGCTTTTAAAAACATCAGACTTCTCCGTTGTCAAAATGTGAAACGAATGTATCATTGAAAGGGTTGGTGTAGCTTATGTGGCTGACAAAATTAGAGAGAATTGTCTTAGATTGATGTTGCTTTTAAAAACATCAGACTTCTCTGTTGTCAAAATGTGAAACGAATGTATCATTTAAAGGGTTGGTGTAGCTCATGTGGCTGACAAAATTAGAGAGAATTGTCTTAGATGGTTTGGTCACATTAAACATCGATCATCTCATGATCCGGTTAGGAGAGAAAATGCTTTAGATTCTACTTATGTTAAAAAAGATATAGGTAGACCTAAAAAGACTTGAGCATGTAGTATAAAAAATGATCTTAATTTATTAGAACTAAATGAAAATATGACACTCAATTGGACAGAATGGAGAAAAAGATTCATGGAGCCGACCCCACTTATTGGGATAAAGGCTTGTTGTTGTTGGTGTTGTTGTAGGCATCTTCTTTTTCTTTTTTGCTCTTATTTTAGGGGAGATGCATTCTTCAATTTAGCTTTGACAACATATTTTAATTTGGTAGATAAATTCACATGTTCCGAACATTCAAAAAAACTAACTTAATAATTGGATAAAAACCACTTAGCAAATGAACCCACATGCTTGGTCTATTAGGCCTTATGCCTAGCATTTTCTTTCAGTCATCCCTGGAGCTATGGCTATTGCTGATTGCCTTGACCAAAAGGGCCAAAATAATGTCCATGAAAAACTCGTAGAAAATTTTTATTGTTGCTTTAATTATCTTGACATGTCATTTTGTTGTTTATTTAGAGTCTTATGATTCGACGTAAAAATTCACATAGATTTTCGTAGAACTTAGGGCAAACAGAAATTTTTATTGCAATAATCCAAACAACTGAACAAGAATACAAAGATGAACACCTACAATTCAAGAGTTAGGCAGTCTCTCCGATTCCTACAATTCGAGAGGTAGAAAATCTCTCCCAAGACCAAGGCCTAAAACTCACAACTCAATATAATGCATAACCCTAACCCTAGACATAATAGGTCTTTTTATACCCAACAATAATAATGATAAACTAAATTGCAAAGTATACGATGAGAAAACAAACATCCAAAATAATATTAACAGTGCTTCAATGAAAAAGAAGAAACATCTAAAATAGCATTAACAGTGTTCCAATGAAAAAGAAAAACATTCAAAGCTGAAGCCAAATAAACCTACTGGAAAATAAATACAAAGAGTTCAAAGATGACTAAATAAAATCAAGTGTCCCTGCAGTCGTAAAAATAACATAAATAATTGACCATAGGTCATGGGTTATCGTCATGAAAAACTCTCTATAGGACGGGTCCTTCATCAACTTCATGGAGAACAGATATAACGACATGTTCTCATAAATTTCTGGAGTTACTTCCAGAACTTGCATAAGGCACCAATTGTGATATTTGACTTCTAATGAAAGCAAACTCTTCTTTTTTCTTTTTCTCCACCCTTGGACGCTTTATCCTACTAGTGGACTCTACTTTATTTTGGTTTGGGATAGAGCCTTCATTCTAGTCAATTATTTGTTCGACATCCAAGCTCTCAGGTATGCCTAGAAACCCTCGCTTACTAGGGGTCGATGCATTATTCTCCGTTGTCACAAAACTCACCAAAAATATTGTCCAACTTCTCTTCCAGCTTAGGGTCAATACCACTGAATTTGAATTTTTTAGCGGCTGACACTACCTGCAAGATAAAGGGATATGAATATGTTAATACAATTCAGGAAAAGAAAATCATAATATGTAGGTTTGATCTATTCTCACATCCAATCTCTCAGTCAACCATTTCTTCTGAAGCATCAATTGTCCGCTTTATCGGATCTCAACCCAAGCTCGTGGATCATCATTTCAATTCCTTTAAAATTTTCTAGTCTTTTTTTAATTGATCTCACTTGTTCCTCAGTTGCATCCTATCGTACTCCCTGCCCGTAATTTTCTTGAGTATTTTCATAATATTTTGTCACCCTTGTTGAAATAGGTTGCGGATCTATTTCTCAGTTCCACCTCCTTAAGGCAGAGATTGTAAAATATTAAGGTGGCTTCCTTATCCCACATAGCAGATAAATCGAGTTCTTTTGTCTTAACCATTGCATCACTAACATAGAAAGAGTTAAACATAAATATTTAACATAAGAAATAATTAACGCAAATCAAGCAAAAAATAAAATTTTCGTATTTCACTACTGCCCCATAACCATCTCCACACCAATCCTCCACATCACCCCCACACCAATCAACACTGCCCCCACACCACCCCCACACTAATCACCACTGCCCTCACAATATTCACACACCAATCACCACTGCCCCCCACCCGCACACCAATCACCACTCTCACCCACACCATCCCCAAACCAAACACCATTGCTCCCACAACACTCTCACAACAATCACCACTTCCCCCTCACCACTCCCACACCAAACATCGTTGTCCCAATAACTCATCCATAACAACATAAACTCTCATATAAATGCAAATAGTTGCCATGCATATGCACACATAAGAAGTGGGTGCAATATTTGTAAATTTTTTTAAATTTTGCAAAATAATCCTGAGATGACTTGGTAAATATCATAGAATTTCTTTTTTATTTGTACTCTAGGCATTATTTTTCCCCCAAATAATCCAATCATCCAAAATAACTTTTTTCTCAAAAATTCTTTTAAAAAAATTTCATCCAAGTAGCATACACCAACCCCACATAATTCAATCATCCAACAAGGTCTATTTACATACACAACACAAATCTCTATTGAATTTACATATCTCACACAATAACTTTAACATTCATGCACGCAACGCTCAAATCCACAAGACCAAATCAAAGTGAACACCATTACAACATACGCAACATAGGGAAAACATGGTGAAACAATCAAATACACACGACTACGACTACCATCATCCCTCAAGCGGCAAAATATGGATTTGACTATCATGAATGTAAACACATAAGAATGTGCGTTGGGTTTGTAAAAACCAAAACAAAGTGAACACCATTACGACATACGCAACATAGAGAAAACATGGTGAAACAATCAAATACACACTACGACTACTATCATCCCTTAAGCGGCAAAATATGGATTTGACTATCATGTAAACACATAAGAATGTGCGTTGGGTTTGTAAATTGTAAATTCCCAATAAAAAAGGGAGCTGTTGAAACCGTCAAATGAAAACATAAATAAAAAGTCCTAAAAGAAAAAGGAGAACCTGCAACATTGCTGGAAAAACTAGCTTGACTCCCTATCCAATGTCATAATGTACACAACATAAACCTTGCTATTAACAAATGCTCAACCCTCTAATATTATTTTCTCAATATTTTCACTCAAATATAAAAATTTATGATGAAATCATAGTTCATATTAATCAAATAAACAACATCTGAAAAGCCTTGTTTATACATCGCTCCAACCATTTTTCAAATTCGCATTCACATATCACAAATCAACGTAGGAAAAAGGAAGCAAAAATGTCAAAATCAAGATTTGTTTGATAGATATGTAATCATTCCCAAATAACAAAACCAACTTAGGAACCGATGAAATGTCTGCATCAACCAAAGGCCACAAACTTATCAAACAAATCACAAAGCATGTGGTGCTATGTATGTAAAAATGAGCTTGTAGCCACCGAGAAAAGAGAAAAAAATGCAAGTCTCTGGTGCTTTGTA